ATATACTTGTTATATATGTTAATAAGCAAAAGTTCCCGTCTCTAATTTACTCTTGTGCATCAAAAAATAACGAATTTATGAGATTTGTGCGAGAGATAGTCCGGTAAAAGCAAGAGAAGGACAGAGAGGACGAGGGAAGAGAGTCAACTTTGCGAACTCCCATCGTGTCACGTAGCACCTAATCTAGGTCAACGGAATTGAATTTAGAACCCAGGCTACCGTAGTTATATACCGCTCTGTAGGTTCAGCGTTGCTTCTTCGCACAGGCAAAGCGTTTCCGGGTTCATAGCGAAAAAGACGCAGCACAACATACACATAGCCTCTCTTGGATTCTGTTAGGTCGCGGCTGGACCAGAGTACGAGAGAGAAAAAGAGAGTTATAAGTTTTAAATTAACTGTACAATTCTTTATGAAGAAAATGGCAAGGATTTTTAATCCACATTGCATACATACATATTTGTAAATATCTGTTTAAATGATTTTCAGGACTACTTTAAAAACTTTAGACATTAATATTATAATTGATATATCTTATAACAGTTTCTATTAAATATTAAGACATTAGGTATAAAATATATCGTTATAAAAGCAATATTTTACTTACGTGATAATTATTACAAATGAATTAACTAGATTAAATATTAATAAAAGTTATTTAAAAGACAATCTTTCTGATGATATTGTCACACACATTATTAAAAATTTATATATTTTGTTCTAAAAAATTAAATAAAAAATAAAATTTTTCTAGATATCTAAAATTTATCTTCATCACGGAAAACAAAAATTAATTGCTGTAATTAAATTTTAGCTGTTCCTACATTAATACATAAAATTTAGTTATCATGCCTAAATTTTAGTTATGATATCTAATATTTTTTAGCTACAGAATAATCTATTAAACTATAGTTGAAGTATTAGTTACCACTATAATTTAGGCATTATAATTAAATTTCATGTATAATATAGACACAATTAAAATTTAGTTATAGTAGTTAATTTTTGTTTTTCGTGATGCGGATAAATTTTAGATATCTAGAAAAATGTTATTTCTTTATTTCATTTTTTAGAAAAACATATAAAAATTAATTAATATAAAAATTTTTAATGATGTGTATGAATATCACGCAAAAGAGAAATAGAATTCTCCGTTAAACTATACCTAAAAATATTAGTTACCATAGTTAAAATTTAGGTATAATAATTAATATCTATAGTTAAAAAATATTATAGCTCTCATAGCTAAAATTTAGTTGCATGATAACTATAAATTGCAGATTGTAAATATATCAAGAGAATTAAAATTTAGCTATGGTAGTTAATTTTTTTCCGTGTAATAATAAAAAAATTGTTCCAATACATCTTACATATATCGATATATCGCGTGTACGTGCAACTGCGTTGCACATAATTATGTGAAATATAAATTTTGAAAACTGCCTACGCGCCTAGAGAATCGATGCTGCGGAAAGAGAGTAGAACAAGACTAGTGCCGCTAATACCTCGTCGATGTAGTGGTACGTAACGGGACCTAATAATCGATACGCCCTTTCATCCTCGCAAAACGAGCGAGCGAGCGCGAGAATCAGCTGTCGACTCTCGGCTGGTATCTTATTCGTCTCGCTTCCGTTCGTTTCCTTATGAGAACCCGACACGTACGCACATGTAATCTCTCTCTCTCTCTCTCTCTCTCTCTCTTTTCTTCGTAGATAGACTCCCGCAAAACGGATCGTATACAATGCGCGCGCGCTTCCTCGTTCCTCGCGCGGCGTATAACATACGGCCCCGAGGCCTTCCTTCGTCGTCGCATTTACAGAGCAGAGAATTCCGGGAGCGGAACGCGCTGCGTCTCTCCCGGGCAGGCAGGGAAATAATAGCCGAGTGATAGAGTCGAGCGCGGGGAATTTTTATGGTTAAATCGATGTTGCACACGCGGCGCGGCTCGCGAGCGGGAGATGGAGAACGTCGCGGAACCAGCGAAATGAGTAGGAAAGAGATAGAAAGACAGAGAGAGAAGAGAAGATTTCTATTCTCGAGAGAGAGAGAGAGAGAGGGTGCTAGAAATCTGGGGCGGGGATAGATAGATCCGGGCTTCGTGCTCTCTCTCCCTCTCTCTCTGTACGCGACCTTGAATGCCAGCCAGCCTAGACCTTGCCTTCGCTCTTTCGCTTGCTCGTTCGTCTAGTCCAGAGAGGCCGTGTGACTGTTGTTTCAAGTAACAGCGACGACGATGACGACGGGTCCTCTCTTTCTCTCGTTTGCTCTTGATGATACTGTCTCGCTCTCTCGCGACGATTACGTAAAAGAGATCGCGATAGAACGGCGTTCAAAGGACACACCAAGGAACGGAATTACGTTCTTTCTGTAAATCGCGAAACGAAGATGTATGACGTCCGGTCGCGTTGCGTTACAACGAACGAATCTATTTATATATTTCGAGGCTCGCGCGAGAGCGTAAAATCGCAGCGAAGAATTCGAACAATTTGACAACAGTCGCTCTTAATCGCTCGTGATAATTGAGAAATACTTAAATACAGATACCTTTCGAAGACAGATCCCGTCCGAAGGAAATTGAATCGCTAAATGGTAGCCGTTGGTCGACAATCCAATCTAAAAGTTTTCTCGAAACACAGGAGAACGCCTCCGGGAGAGACGAAGACGACCGTTCTGAAATTGGCGCCGGAACGGGGCCGATCGATCAATGACGATGAGAGAGACGTAGATGGGCGGGCGGGAAGAATCCAGCATTTCTCGACCGTCGCGATATTATTAATGACGCGAGAATTTCGGAGGCTTTTTTTTAGAGAATCTCGCGTCTCTTTCTCTTAGGTTCGATTTTTACTTGACACTTTGACGCTGAATTTCAGCGTTAAAAGACACGTCAGGTGGTCAAAATTGACAAATTGGTATTTTTATCCTTATTTTTGATCACGTGACGTCTTTTGACGCTGAAATTCAGCATCAGGTAAAAATCCAGCCTTACGCCGACAATATATATATTAATTTCGATCGACATGCGGTGAAAACTCAACGTTGCGTGGAGAAGACAGAAAGAGACGGAGAACGGACTTGGAAAGATCGCGGAAAAAGGGAGGAGAAGGAAGGCGGAAAAGCATCCCGCGATTCTGCTGCTCGCTGGAGCGATCGTTCCCCGGGTGGGAAATCATAACGGACCCTCGGGCCGGCGACCGAGCGGGCCGCGCCTAGACCAGACGGATATAGCCGACATAGTCGTGTATCGTCCGCTCTATCTCTACCCCACTTACCTTTTTGCATTTTTTCACCAAGTAGCGCGACGTCGAATCCCGCCAGTCGAATCGCCAGTGGCATCTGTGCTCGAACTATCCAGAATCGCGAATGATCAAGAGATCGAACCGCGCGATTATTTCCCAACGAACTACTCCGATCGCTCGCCAGGTAGCAGCAGCGACCTAGATCGTCGATCGAACTGTCTTTTTCGCGTTGAAAATTGAGATTGAGGATTAAAGAAATTTGAACCAATCAGGAGGCGGACAACAAATTAATTCCTTTTTAGTGCCGATTAGTCGAATATCGATTTTGAATCTTTAATTTGTAGTCCGATACGGGCTTTAAAGCCTATCCAGACAAATATTATAATAATATTCTGACTATCCAAATAAATTTGCATAGGTGCATAATGCATATGCATAACAAAATTAACTAATCAAATATCTAATATAGAATGCTTCCTCCTACTAGACAAACGATTAATTCTTCATAATGCATAATATTGCATATGCAGAATTAATCGTTCATCTAGTAGGAAGAAGCATTCCATATTCGATATTTCATTAGTTAATCTTGTTATGCATATATAACAGCACGCATATCTCGAAGGCGTTCAGAGAAGATCCTGAGAATGTTCGAATGTCCCTCTGCGGTTATCCTCTGAATATCCTCGGAATGTCTTTCGGATAAGTTGTACTATTAGGGATGCATATGCACCTGTGTAAATTTATTTGGATAGTCTCTTAAGATCGTCTTATTCGCGTGTTTCTTGAAAACTGATCTCTTTGTTGCAATTGCAGCTGCATATGCAGAATATTCTTATGTAATATATACGATTTTTTGGTCAATTTGTATTTAAATTTATATTATTATTTGTTCAAAATACAAAGGATTAACTACGAGATTTTTGTGAATGTATCTCTATTTTCTGAAATATATTTATATTTTATTATTATTTCCTTAATTTCAAATGTTGAATTATTTCACGTTAATGTATTAATATATAGAGATGAATATAGAAATAGAAAGACATTGATTAATTTAATATTATATATGCTGCACGAATCTCAATTCATTATAAAAATTTGAATTATAGCGATGAATAACTTTAATTTTCAAAACCTGAAAAATTTCGTATGTCTATTTTATGTTTATAACATATAAATCGACCAATCATAGTTAAGAATGTAAATTTACAAATACTCGATCGTGATTGGTCAACAGTTTATTAACATTGTGATATTACTTATATTGCTTTATGTTTTATGGTCTATGTATAATCGCAGTATGGAAAACATCGGGAGGAATTTCAGATTTCGAAAATTATTCGTAATCCAGATTTAAACTGATAATCGAGGTCCATGCAGCATCAAAACATGTTAAAATTGGTAAATCTATTAATATTTCTATCGATCGATCGATATATATATTAAGGTACGTACAATTTCATTTCATATTAATAAAATCATTAATAATAAATGGGGTTAAATATATCAGAAACATCAATAATAGAGATAAAGTTAAATATATGCAACTCTGTCTCTTTATCTGAAAAATAAAGAATTCACATATTAAAAATATATTTCGCTTCTCTCGACTGAATAAATTCCGATAAAAAAATAGACACGATAGAGAGAATAATGCGAATAATGCGGATTGAACGTGAAGTTGCTATGGTTACAGGACTGTTTGTTTCGCGCCAAAGTTGGCCGCCATCATAACGCACTTGTGATACGTAAATAATAGTATATCGCACGCATAAAAATAATATAATAAACCTACATAATTCGATCGCCTTGTGTCGCGGACATCAACAAAGAATGTTTTCATTCTTCGAAAAGTTCGATTCCATACACAAATACAATACGGTCGGTGAAGTAAACAAAAACGAGACGAACACATAAAGAAGAAAGAGGAGATAAGATAAACACCGCAAGTGCTCATGGGTAGCTACAGACTAGTGCGGCGATAGTAGTCGTCGTTTCAAACGTGTCGTGTCGTATCAGCGAACCGCGTTTTCTTCCTCGACGGTTCTTCGAGACAGACGAACTCGTCGAGCGAGCGTGGTCCAGAAGGACCTTCGTCGGGAGAAATTGCGAGTTTCGTTTCCTCTTCCTGCGTACAGAATGTATCCGCACGCGAGGGAAGTGTCGTGCCTGAAATCTTTGCCGGACCGGTCATTGTCACCTTGCTTCAGCGTTCCCGGCACGAAGCTGAAGAACGTCAATTGCGTTGGCTGTAAACAGGGATTCTACGTGTCAGGTAATTTTCAGCTTTTAGATGGCTTTTCTCCGGTGTCGCGTATATACGTACGCGTATTGATTCCTACGCCGGTGTCAGGAAAATACCGGCGTCGTCGCGTTGTTCGAAGTCGATCGTACGATCGCATCCTCTCGCCGATATGTGTACATATATATTTTGTGCGATAAATGTAAACAATGCTGGCGAAAACAATTGTTTTTTGATCGATAACGCGAATACTCACGACAGGACGTCAGAGAGGTTAGAATTCCTTGTGAGCGAGAATTCTGCGAATTAGATATCTTTCACACTTGTTCAAAGGTTGAATGAAAAAACAAATACAATATTTGAAGCTGATTGAGAAAACTTTTTTTTTTTTTTTTTTTTTTTTTTTAGATAGGAAAAATTTTATCACAATATTATTTCCTGTAATAAGAAAAAAAATAATAAAATACATGATATCAAAAGGCAGAGATATTTTTATACACAATTATATTTTATATATCATACAATACAATTTTAATAAAAACTGACAAATATCTTTTCTGTATTCTATTATTATATAAGTGAAAAATGTATAGCTTATGTAACTTATATTCTTATATTATGAAATAGATTATAATAAATAATTCATGTAGATCAAAACGTAGAAAGAATGTCAAAATTGTTACAGATTTTATAAAACTGAGCACGTCTATACAGAAAGGAACCCATATACCTTTGTTATTGAATTGCGGACATCCAATATGCAATAAATGTATCAAGTATAAGAAAGTTCAAAAGTGCTCTTTGTGTAACAAAAACATTGAGGAAGCTGGCAATGAGAAACTCCTGCCGTTGAATTTGTACACACTAGGGCTGATTGTCTCATCATATAATCGTATATTAGAAAATGACGATGAAGAATTTTCATTTTCTCACAGACTATCTGCACAGTTACGTCAGATATCAAAGCAAGGTTAGAAAGTTAGCACATTATTATACTAAATAAAATAACTTTGTAAACAAGAAAAGAAATTTAATTTATTCTTTCTGTTTATAGGATGTTGCCATGAATGTGGAAATCAAGCTAGCGTAAACTGTCCGCAATGTGTGGCTCTCTATTGTCATTGCTGTTATTCAAAAGTAAATCAATATATTTTTTATAAGAGAAATACTTATAATTAATTAAATGTGTCATATATTTTATGATTTTGTTTTATGTTCTTTATAGATTCATGGAAGAGCACTGCAGAGCCACACACAAGTTCTTATATCTGACGGAAGCTCCCATAATTCTGCTGCAATGCTAAATAGCTGTTCGTCAACATGTTATGAACCATTAAACTATTTTTGTAATGACTGTAATGTGGCTTGTTGTTCTAATTGTACTTTGCGCTTACACAAACTGCATGATTTTGAGACATTATTAGAAAAGGTTAGTAATCACGTTACTTAAATTATAAGAAATGATTATGCATTATTGCAAAAAAATTTAAATGCTGATGTGTTTTATTATTTACAGAACCAGATCCTGCTACCCGAGTTTAATCAGATTTACATGGACATCGAGGAGACGCTGTTGCGAGTTAGCCAGACAAAAGAGGTGAGTTCCTATTTTTATTGAATGTCTTTTTTGATGAGAAATGGAACGGATAATTTGTATATATCCATATAAACAAAATATTACAAGATATATATGTCATGCAGTAATAGAAATAAATATAGGCCAGATAAGCTAATAGAAATAAAGCTCCGTAAGATAGGCGAGCATTTTCGGTGATATATAGAGTACACAATACGCATATATGACTAGAGATAATAGAAGAAATATATAATACGTCATCAGCCATTTCATACCCGTAACAGACTGTGAGATAATCTTATTATTTTTCCGCACGAGAATATTGTAATTCTCTCATTATCTCGCGCATTAAAATAACTTATAACTCTATCATATATATATTGCACTTTTCCGAATCTGCAAGCCTTTTGGCTTCGTCATCTTATACATTTACGATTTTTGCTTTATATATTATAATGGCAACAAGTCAGGTATCATATGTTAAGGCTAAATTATTTAGCACATAACGCTTTAATTAAACGCGTCTACTCTTCATCGTTTGACGTTTGAGATTTGTCTTTATGCTTGCCTTTCTCCTCTTGCTGGTTTTTTAATTTCTTCTCCTTCAGTTTTGCCTCCATCTCTTTGAACTTGAGTTCCAAGTATCGATCTACTTCCGGGCCGGTAAAATCCTCGGGAAACTTGGGCATAATTGGCAGGATATATTTGTACAGTCTCTCGTTTAAAACGTATAGTTGAGTAGTCGTCTCGCATTTTACATTGAACCACCAATCACAGGTCAACGCTACCTGACTAAATATTGTGCCGTTTGGACATAAGAACGACGATTTACCACCATTGAGATCGCAATAATGCCATACCTGAAAAACGATATTAATTCGATATTTTAAATAATGTAAAACCGTGAATATAAAATTTAAAAAACTCGAAAAAATTGTGAGAAAATAAAAGGCATATAAAGACTCACAAATTAAAAAAAAAAATATTTTGCAGCCATTTTATTTGCAAACTCGGAAATTAAAAATATACATTTAAATATAAAAAGCTTATATATTATTTTAAATATAAATAAATATATAATTATATATTTTTTTATAATAATATATATAATTATTTATATATTACATATTTAAATTGTTATATATATATATATATATATATATATATATATATTATTAAATATATTTATTATGTATATACTCACTTGACATCTCGTCGCTGGATCGCCGAAGAATCCTTTATATCTTTGATTTTTACAATTGAAATCGGTTTCCGGTATAATTGCGTACGCCGGATAGTCGACATGGGGTTTTCCGCGCGTTGCACCGTATTTCAAGGGTGTTTTCGGTTTTGGCTGCGTAATTTCATTAGGCGCCACATATTCCTGACTTATAGATGCCTCGGTAGAAATCGGCAAAGTGTATCGTTCGTCCTCTAGGATATCGCCACTAAGATCTTCCGTAATCTCGTAGGTGTGCACAGTCGTATCAGGTCTGGGGGTTGGCCTCAATCTTTGCTGCTTGGATTCGTTTGAAATATCCTGAACATAAGGGACGTAATATTCCACCTTGTCATCCTTTATGTGATTTATATTGTAATCTGGTTGTACCGGGGTTTTGATCCGAACGTTGTCGTCGTCCTCCGTTGCCTTGTATCTTTCGGGATCATCGGTGATCAATAGCGGATTCGGTGTCACCTGGAAACTCGTCTCGGTAATCACTTTTGGCCGCGTATTTATTTTCGGTTTGTAATTGTTCAATCTAGGCGGAGACAATAACGGTTCTTGCGGCTGCGGTACATTTTTTTGCCGCGAATTGTGCAGAATATTGAGAATCTCCATTAATGTCTTGATACTGCTGTCGATGTTGTCTTTGTTCAACATCTCCGGCAGTCGTTCGCTCAACTGAAAACTTTCGATTAAATTGTTCAGACTCGGTTTCGGATAAACTTGCGAGATGACGGACGACGATTTCATCGACGACTGCATGTTGGTGTGTACCGGCGGCGGGATGTACCTCAAACCGTTGAATTCTTTACTAGGGTAGTTAACGATAATATTCGGTATCTGCGCCGTATCCTGGTCATAATCGTCCTGCGGGTTGCCAAGCAGCGGTTTCTTAATCAAGTGTTGCTCTCGCGCGGGAGCGGGAGGTCTCAGAGGTCTCGTAGTGGCGAAATATCGATTTTCCTCGTGCAAGATCTGAGTGGAAGGCGTGGTGATCTCAGGATAGGTATTTTCCACCTGATAGAGCTGATAGGACGGAGTGGAATAGTCAGCATAGTTGATCTTAGCGCTATACTTGACCGGTGTGAAGTAGTCGTTGTCACCTCCGATGTTTCTGGGATCGAATTGCACGGACGGAACAAACTTCTTGTCCTGGCCGGGTGAATTGACACGATATTTGTGAGTTCCTCGCCTCGGCACGTCGCTGAGCCGAGTCAAAGGATGCGGCGGCGAGGGTTTTCGGAACAAGTGGGTCGATGGATCTTTTGCGTAATTTTGCTCCAACGTAGTCGGGACGGGCAAGTAGTTGTTGGCAACGTAGAAAGTCATGTAGGGTATCAATCTCCGATATCTCTCCTTGAACGTTGTCAGATTCATGTTGGCGAATAACTCTTCTCCGTCATTCTCGAAAATCACATCTAAATTTGCCGGCTCCGATGCTGCGAAGCTTCGCATTAAGCAAACTGCAACTGAAAAAAAGAAATCTCTTTTTATTATTATCGTCATTTTTGAACAAATGTTTCATTGCATTTTATATCCAATTTTTGGAGAAACAAGACGCATAATAAAATTAGATCTTGAAATTTAAAATTCGGACCAATCTCGCGAATTTGTTGCAAAACAGTATAGTATAGTTTTAGCGAAAGAAGGCAGAGAGAAAATTAGAGATAACGCGATATGTCTAAAACGTTTCGACAAAGACGAATCGAGGAAAAGAGGAGAAGATTGGTCGAGAGTTGAAGTTGAGTCTGGCGATCTAGATGCAGAACCGGTGAATCGGTACATTTTAGCGGTTGCATCGGTTGAACGTGCCAGGGCGCGAATATACCCTCTTCGCCACAGGAATACCGATATACGCGCACTCGTTGCCTATATTCTATCTCGCTATCTCGTGGCACGTACAAAAGCACTGGCCAGCTCTCCGAATATTTTCCTTCTAATTTAATTTTACCTGGTGGAGAGCGCGCGTTACCTCGCACATTTCCGAGGACGAGAGAAGAGACCGAGATGGGGATGGATCGCGTGATAGCTTTTCGAGGGGTCGATTAGAGATGTAGGTATTTCGCGCGATGCACTGGAATGTTGAATACGGAAATTTTTTTCTCCATCTCGCGTCTGATATACTTCTCGTTTAACAATAAAATTTTTTAATCGATCGTGTTTTACATTTTATTTGCGTTTACCAACTAAGTTTTTGAACGAACAATTAAATCTTTTATGTATATAAAGCATTCTAGAAATGCGTAAAAGTTAATACATAATTACTTTGACTTATTTATTCACTAAACAGCACGGTAAGTTTTCTAATGAGAGTAATTGTATATCATGTTACTGTATATTTTAGTCTACAATATATATATATAATTGTTTCTATTTGAATAATTTTATCATTTGTTCATATACTATTTTACTGGCAAAATTAATAATTAAGAAAGTAATTACACACTGAAAATTTAATTTCTTCATTATCTATAATATAAATTTTTATATTTCGTGCGTGATGCACGAATACATCAAATTATTTGAAACTTTCTAACAAAAATCAATTTTTATAGAAAGTAACATTAACATATAGGAAAAATTAGTATATAGCTAAATTTTAGCTGTCCCTATATTACATAGGAAATTTAGTTATCTGTCTAAATTTTAGCTATGATAGCTAATATTTTTAGCTATCGAATTCTCTGTTAAACTACAGCTAAAAAATATTAATTACCATAACTGAAAAGGCAAGATAACTAAATTTCAGGTTGCAATATAAGAATAGTTAAAATTTAACTATGGTAGTTACTTTTTTTCCGTGAAAAAATCATATATTAAAATTTTCAATTTTTTTTCCACAATATAAAATCTTATTACGATGATAGATTATTCAAATCGTTAAAATCTGCAATTGTCGAGCTTGATCATATCATTTTTTTAAGAATCGAACGAATCACACGTGCTAATTTTCTACGGCACTGTCTTCGTTCATTCCATAGATATTCTTCACGCAGGCGAAACACCTCGCGAATATATCCTCGTTCACTTTTCAATTTGCGAGCTCTCGTCACATCGTCCGGCTGGCGATATTGCAATATGAAACGCGAAGGGGTTGCGGGGAATATGGAATAGCAGAGTGTACAGTCCAAGTGCCGGATATAAACCTGCCTCACTTAGACTCGCCATGAATTTTTATAAACCGATTATTTAGCGTCGATGTAACAAAGTGCAGCGCGTTCGCTGAAAGAGCATCGTCGGTGTTTCGAGCCGACGATGCACATCAAAGGGTTGCACGTTTCAACCCCGTATATTTCTCCCTCTCGCTCTCCCTCTATCTTTCTCTCGTTTCTCTTTCTCTCCTGCGGATTACATACAGTTATATACACCGGTCCCGACCTGGAAATCCAATTCGATTCTGCATGAAATGAGTCTGGAAACTCTGTTCGCGGCGCGGCGCGCTTTATTAATCCTGTCAGCGTGAAACATGATTGAAAAATTCGCAAAGCGCGTGTGCATGCGATCTCTAAGAGACGCTCAACTTGAACATTTTCAAAGGACGATGCGACATCATTCGTGGAATGTATTTTCCGTGCCGTATATACAAAGAGACTCTCGATCGCGCGTCTTCGATGTCACGGAGAAAAATGTTTCGCACGAATCCGTCTTGAAATGCGGCGTTTAAATCGGAATCAAAAGGAAATCTTTCGTTTCTATCGTATCTTACATATTGCATTATTCAGATTTAAAAAGAGATTATCCGAAAAATTACGCATATCGTATCGATTACGTTAAAGAATGAATATTAACGATTGTATAGTCAAGACGAGAACACAAATGAATTTTATCAACATCCGACTTATTTATTATAAAAATTAGAATCTTTATTTTTCTTCGTACGACAATACCAAAGACGGTTGCCGCAATAAATAAAACAATTATTCCTTAAATTGGATCTCAGTCAGATCCAATTTCGACAATTCGATTCAGATATTTCGATTGCTTTCTCTCTTCTTATTGTTAGTCGTCGCCGATGTCTCCGATTTTTTTTCTGTTTTCTCCTTTTGTCCTCGCGACGATGTTTGTTCGATCGACGAAATTCTAACTTGTATTCTGCGTTGCGCAACATCTATTGTATGTATCACGCAAAAGTACAACACGATCTGGATGGGATGTCGTGTCGATCCATTGGTAACCCGATACGGAATATTAATTGACGGGTATTGGTCTCCCGGATTACGTTATTTCAAACGCACGTGACTGGGAAGCTCGACGGACGCATCGAGAGGGAGAAAGGGAGAGGAAAGAGAGAGAACTGCGAAATATATAAATGTAGCCAAAATACGAACATTGCTTTGTGCTTTTTCGTTTTTAAAATTCTAAAATTTAATTACAAGTTCCTCTGAATACACGTGATATCTAATTAATTTTCGAGCATTTAATACGGAACAGTATATGAGGTCTGCCTGTTTTCGCGGCAATTCGGTATATAATGAACACCCTCGCTCTCGTCTCTGCAGTACGCGACATTCGTAATGTAGAACATAGCATTCAGCAAAAACTAACTGCTACAAATAATTGATGCCGCTACGGTGCGCGATGGACGAAAAACCCACCCTCGAAGCTCCCAATCGCGCGTGGCTGAAATTACTGCGTGTGTCACTTTATTTATTGCACGGACACGAGACAAAAGGGCCTGCCGCGCGACACCAGCGGTGCAATATGCGCGGGAAAATAAAGCCATTTTTCATTCTTGGTCGCGAGGACGGAAATTCTTAATGAGTGAAATATCGCGACTGCCACTCGACATCGGAGAAACATGGCGTGTTGCTGAGCATTTGAAATCGAAATAATTTCAAGAGGTTTTGCTAATAATATTATTGAATTTCTCATCCTATGATTTATTTATAAAATTCAGTATAATAATTGGAGAAATTTTAATATATATATATATATATATATATATATATATATATATATATATAAAATATGAAAATTTTTATTTTATTTATTATTCGTTGATTATATGTTTGATTTCAGTTAAGATTTCCATTTACCTTATGTATTTTAATAATTTATTTAGAACATTTCGTATATTTATTAAGAACATTTCGTATATTTTCCGTATTTTTGTACATAATTTTTATATTTTTTTATAAATCATAGGATAGATACTTCAACATTTTATAAAATAAATTATCCAATTCTTTTAATAATTAGATTCTTTAATACATTTTTCTTTAGCGAAAATATCGAAGGAAATTATTTATTGTAAAAAAACTTTTTTTAACACACATACATATATACATATACTATATCTTCACAATTAAACTTAAATTATAAGATTTTGTTAAAGTAAATTTTATTTAAAAAACTTTAATTGAAAACTATTTCGTCATTTAAAAAATTCTGTTTTGATTGTAACTCATTTTTTTTATGATTCAAAAATTATTTATGCTTCGATATTTTTACTTTGAAAGAAAAAATGGTTAAGGAACTTGTCATTAAAGGGACTTGTGACTTGTGAAATTTTCGAGACTTTACATAAAATTGCTTACGTAAGAGTTATACTTATATAATTCGTATATTTCATAATTGTGTATTTACTGCTATTGTATCGAGTCTGTCGGCAATATTATGTCGCTACCGATGCATACGTTATTTTAAATTTAAGATTACATATGCAATGAACATTCTCTCGCTTTAAAGCGAAAGAAGGTGCGCATTTTTTTTCTCGCAATGCAGTCACATACAAATAAGCACGAAAATATTTATACGCATGCGATATCGAAGCGAAATCGTGATTTATCATCGATTATTTTGACTTGTCTCGTGAAATCGTCGCTAAACATAATTCACATATGGGGTATGTATATCACTGACGAAATGAACGAGAAGGAAAAGCAAGATCACAATCGCGAGACACACAAGAAAAAATCTGTTGAATAATACATTAAAAAAATTGAGTACCAATAATTTATCAACAAAATTAAAGAAATTTTCCCTCGATATAAATAATAATAAATCTGCATTCGATTAACTCGTGGAAGTCTAATGATAAAAATATAATATGATAGTATTATTTATTAACACATGCATATATCTGTATACATTAGTACGGAAATTTTAAACATTTTCTTATAAAACATTATATATTTTTTTCGAATTTAAACATTTATTCAGTTTTAATTATATTTTTAACATTAATTTTATCAACAAGTCGGTAATTTAGCTTCTAACTGAATATTATAAGTCATAAAAAATATATAGTAGCATATATATTTTTATTTATAATGCGAAAAACATATAAATTCTTATCGGATGTTTTTTACTTTTTTTACATTTGCTCGTATCTGATGTCATATATATATATAGGGATGAATTTTTTTTGGCGTTCTCGTTAGAGAATTCTCTAAAATGCCTCGGAATTTCTATTCGAACTTCACACGTACTTTGCCGCAAATTACGTTAATACGCGTTTCTACGGTTT